TTACAAATTTGCCCATTTCCTGCTTGCCATTTTGTTTGGTTTCCATTGGAGGATTGAAACATTTGATGGTGAAAGAAGATCAGGCCTCGCTAATGTATGGCTCCTCTTTGAATCATTGCTGTGTGCTAAATTCTGTAAAAATGTTGCCATGGCAACCTACTTTTCTGCACTGTGAGCTCACAGACATGAATATAGGATGGATCCAGACTCACTGCTGTTCTTCCTCAATAAAGAGACTGTCGTTTTGCCTTGATGTTTGACCTATCACATGTAGTTTCTTAAAACTAGTTTATGTGTAGCTTGCTTTCATGAAGTCAAATTTGACACCATTTACTTTAATACATATCAGTGTATCTATTTATCTATTTATTTTGGGGGGGGGGGGGTTCAATTTTTTTTTATTACGTAATACATATTTTACCTCTGGAAATGAACTTATCTCTGCTTTGGAACTAATAGTATCCATTAATGTAGCCTAAATGTTTATCATGTATAACTAGCGTTCAAAAGTTTGGGGTTGTTTAAAAAAGTTTCTTTCGCTCACCAAGACTGAATTTATTTGATCTAAAATGTATTTAAAACGGTAATATTGTGAAATGCTATTGCAATTTAAAATAAAGGCTTTCTGTTTTAATACATTGTAAATTGTTATTTATTCCTGTGATGTAAAGCTGAATTTTCTGGATCATTACTTCAGTCTTCAGTGTCACATGATCCATCAGAAATAATTCTAATATACTGATTTACTGCTCAAGAAACATTTCTTTTTATTATTCTTAATGTTGAAAACAGTTGTGCTGCTTAATATTTTTTGGAAACTGATATGTTTCAGAAAAATGCAGAAGAACGTCTTTTTTAATAGTTTTTTTTAATTTACATTGTAAAAGTATTTACTGTCACTTTTGATCAATTTAATTCATCCTTGCTGAATAAAAGTATTAATTTCTTTAAAAATAATCTTAGTGACCCAAACTTTTGATTGGTAGTGTACATTAAAAAATACGTACCAAGAATACTGCAATACGTATCGTGGGTGGTGTATTGAGTTTTTTCGGATTGGTTTGAATATTGTTACACCCCTATTGGTCTGGCTGTATTTTGGTATATAACACCCTGTTTTCATCATCCAGTTATTTCCTGATGGATAAAATCAGGGATTTTTTTTTTTGTTTCCTTTTCTTCCCTAATTCCCCATCCTGCTTTGCTTAAATGCATCCGATTTCGGAAATAAAATCAGGTTGTGAACATCAATTTGCAGCCACTAAGACAAACAACCTGCCTATTATTTCTTTATACTGTAGAATTAGACCAGCTATTTGCTTTGCGCATGCATTTGTTTCACTACCAGGTCTCCAGTTTCCTTTCATTGTCAATCAATCAACCAAACATTTGCGTGTTTGTTTCCCACAGAATGACCTAATATGGAGGAAAACCTGATATCAAGGTGCTCCAGTAATGTTCAAACAGTTTTGGTTCAGTTTCTGTGGCGCAGTTGTTGTAAAGCTGCAGGGAGGTGCAGCTATTTGGCAAGCTGAAGGTGCCAGGAGAGCAGTGGTTATGCAACCAGGCTGTTTATTGGGTTTCCCCTGTCAGCAAACCACCGGCAGTACAGAGAGAGAGACAGACTGAGAGGAAGACAGCAAGCAGATAGTCAGCAGGGAAGCTGGAGCATGACAATCCAGCTGTTGGAGTTAAAACTAGCCATGACTCAGCTCAGGGAGAGATGGGACAGGAAAATAATGGGAAATCGAACCTGCATCTCTCATATGAGCTCAACGTTTCGTGAGCGTGTGAACGAACCACTTGGCAATGGCTTATAGAAAAGATTTCTAATGCCTAGTGATGTTGAGACTCGTGTCGTTTAAAAAAGCTTGTGTTTCTGTCTAGTGAAATTTGATTAAGGCCAGAACACCTTTGGTTGCAAAGAAACTAGGGCTGTGCGATTAATCAAAATCGTCATAAAATCGCAATTTGAGCTTGCGCGATTTCTAAATCGCTTTATAGCACGATTTTCCGCGCCCCCGACCTTCCGCAGTATGCTATCCGAACCAATCAGAATGCAGCGCGCCTAAATGGAGCACGAGAACAGAACAGACCGGGCAGGCATACAAACGTAACGCCGGGTTCACACACTCCGTCTGTGGTGCATATTTTGTCCGCGCCCATGTTAACGGATCAGAGCGTTCACAATGCATGCGATTGCGCTCCGGCAGTGCGCTGCGATCGTTTCCGCATGGAGTCTATTTCTGCTGTGCTGCATGCACAGCGCATTATTCGCGGTAAAAATTAACATGGATTGACACGGAAATTGAGTAATTTCCATAAATGCATTTAATTAAAGTCTACTGTTTCACAGTCAACACATGGCTTTTTGGCTAGGTTTAAAACAAGGAAACGTGCACTTTTAGATAAACAAGGCAATAATAGATGGCACTCGTGGTGGTAGTTAAAGTTATATTTATTGAGTTTAAACGTGAATCTGTCTATGAAAGATTGTATTACTGTACTGTGATAAAAGAGAATCACAATGCTGAAAAAGCAT